GGTCAATTGGGCTAGGCTTCTTGAGATTTCATAAAATGGCGCAGGTCCAAATTGTTTATTCTTTGAGCCATCCCGGGTGACTCTGTCGGCAAATTCATTGTCTACCATACCCGCGTGACCCGGAACCCATCTTAAGACCACTCTGTTGTTACATCCCAGTACGTTTAAATGGTTCACGTAGTCTCTAACTAGCTTCGAGTTCACTAAGTTTATCAGACCTCAGCGCTAACAGTGCTGCTTGATTATCAGAGTTAATACAAATTATATGGTAGAAGTAGTGTTTTTGCAGATTGATTTCCCCACACTGAAGTATGGCGAAAGTTTCCGCCTGGAAGGTAGAGATGTATCTACCCAAATTTATACTTAGTTTGAATTTGGGGCGTTCCCCGTAAACTCCAAAGCCTACATCGAGGCCTATTTCCCATTGGTATACCATATGAGGCTACTGACCTCACAAAAAACCTGGCTATTCAGCCAGTTTTCTCTGGAGGGTAGTTCCACTATACTTTTTATCAAAAAGTGTATAGTGGACGCATGATATCTGAGATCATGCATAAGACCGGTGTTTCCATTGAGTCGAGCATGGATCTCAATCTGTAGGAGAGCAAGCTCAAACAAAGGGGCGTTAGGCATAGAAGTGCATTAAGAGCCGCTCCAGTGAGGTTTGCATAGCTCTCCAGTAGCCATAGAGCAGCCAATCTTTTGTAGATTATTTAGTCTGTCCGTAGTCGTCTTTTGGTTGGCCTTATTGCACCAGACAGTGGAGGCGTAGGTGAGAATCGGCTCCACTATGCTGATGTACAGCCGTAAGCCATACTGGGACGCAAGCCTTAGTTATTCCCAACCAAACGACTGCACGTACCTAAAGCAAGTTTTGCCTCATGGTATACGTTGCTAAAGTGAAATTTCCACGTTAGTTTTTGGTCGATTGTTACGCCAAAGTACTTACCTTCAGTAGAAAATGGTAATTCTTGACCATTGAGTTTTGGTGTGACTAATTTGTCCAACCGTCTCTTTTTGGTAAAGGGTATTATAACAGTTTTATTTAACACAAGTTATTTATGGTGTTTAGGGCTCTTAGTATGATTAACAATAAAGTACTTTGGCGAAAGCCTCTTGCAGTGATAACATGGTCATCAGATAGTCTAGTGTGTCAATGCGCAGATCTGTCATCTTGTATAATGGTTGGTCAACCGCAAGAGTCCAAAGAAGGGGTGACTAAACACCTCTTCATGAGCAGACTCTTGTAGTTGCAACCTCAATCGAAGTTTTAAAAAGTGCTATTTTGGCCTTTCTGTTTGAGGAGACTTCACCCACCTAATGGTTGTGCATCAGCAGTGACGTGGGGCTACTGTCGAAGGTGCCCTCATTATTTAGAAGGGCAAAAAGAGCTATTTCTTTACCCTCCAGTGTTTTTCGACCTTGTCAATAACACTGATCAGGGCTGTTTCCGTAGGTTTGCCTCAGCGGTAAGCATGCTGGATGTAATGTATGGGCCTCGTAGTTGGAGCTACATCCCTTATATATCTATCTATAACGTTTTCTAATGTCTTAAGAAGAAAGGAAGATAGGCTTATAGGTCTAAAGGACTTTGGTAAAGCATAGTCCTTTCAACTAACCTTAGCTATAAATAGAACTTTGACAATTTTCCATCGTTCTGATATAATTCCCCACGCAAAACTTGCTCTGAAGATTTTCACCAGATAGGGTAGAAGGATATCGATGCCCCACTGTAGTTGAATGGGAGTTATTCCATCCTCACCGCTTGTCTTAAATGGTTTAAAGGAGTCAACAGCCTACCGCACCGGGTTTGGCCTTATTATCTTTGCAGCCCTACACCATTCCTCATTACAAGGCCCTCGTAGGGCTCTGAAAGAATTCAAGGCAGATGTCTCATGTGACCCAGGGAAATGGGTTCACGCTAGTTACTTCAAAATTCTGTTTTACTATTAGTGAAGTTACTATCAGGCTTCTTAAGCAGCCCGATCTGATTAAGTTAAGCTTTCAGTAGCATTTTGTATAGTCTTGCACTGCGAGACAGAGACTCAACTTCCTCGGATAGCTTCATCCACGATGCTCTCTTGGCTTTCCTAATTTCTTTATTATATTATTCAGTTAAGGCTGCACTATAAATATCCCACTTTTTGTTTTTTGTAGCCCTATTAAATAGTTTCCTGGTCTTTTCCCTAAGTTCTTTTAGCTTAGTATTCCATCAAGAAACTTTTCGTGTTGAAGTCTTGGTTTTGACGGGACAACTGTCCTCAAAGGCTTCATGGATACCTACGGTTACTGTCTTCGTCGCTAACTCCAGAATTACAATCGTTTTGATGCTTTTAGGAAACGTTTACTTATATCTCCTTAGGCTATCTCTGTAAATATCCCATGAGGTCGCCTTTGGATCCTTAAAAGCAACGGTTTCATAGATTGGAGATGCTCCAATCACAAACTTAAAGTGTTTGTGATCAGACATCGAGTTTTCAATACTAACACACCAGTAATTTTTCCACCTAGACATGTTATTGACGGCCGAGGGTTAGAGAGAAAAGGAAAGATACCGGCGGACGATGTGGGCGGTATCGAGGAGCACCGTCTTCTGCATTTAAGCGGTCCATCAAGGAGTCCCGGTCGCCTCAGATGACTCGCGGGGCTGACCGAATTAACTAGTTCGCAGAGACGAATACAGATATAATTTACAGATGGCAAACCACCCTACATGTCGGTCACCTCATGAGCTAGATCTAGATATTGTGTTTCCTATATGTTTTGGCTTTCACGAGGTTCTCGTCATACGGAATCATAACGTAAACAAAAATATCCTTGACTGTGCCCGGTCTATCAGCACAATTACAGGTTTATTCACGAGAATAGTCCCGTATGTGGTGATGTTCCGGTCCCAGTAGAGCCTGGCGGGGTCATTTTGGAACACGGCTTCCGACAAGTACTATTAATAAGACAGTTTCCGATTCACGAGACCATATTTCAGAGCGAGGTCCTAGGTTGTGTCTGTGAAAGTACTCACAGTAATGGTCGCCACACACGGTCAGTTCAACTGATCATTCCAACTGATCAGTTCAAACTAAAATGGTTTTTATTTTTTTAATATTGGACTTTTGATATATATATATATATATATATATATATATATATATATATATATATATAATTTCGATATTTTTTTATAGGATAGGATGACAAACGAGCACACGGTCCACCTGATGGTAAGCGGTTGCTGTGGCCCATAGGTATATACATCTATCCTCGATTACGAATAAAATTGCAGATGCGTTGTCATCCGTGAGGACTTAGGTGAAATGCCTCGTTTCCAGTAAAAAGGGTCGATATATCGATATGTCGAAAATCCAATATTTTAAAAAATATCAACAGTTTTAGTTTGAATTGATCAGTTGGAATGATTAGTTGAACTGGCCGTGTGTGGCGTCCATTAGAAACAACCGGGATGGCGACAAGCTGGACAGATGTAGACGGCTCGACATATGTCGATGTTGAGGAATATTCCTCAATTCTGATGAGGCACGACGCTAAATCCTCTTGACAAGGCGCTGATTGACTACGCGGACGTAGCATTTTTTTCGCTTAACTATTACGTCAGCGGACGATGAGGTCGTCATTTCCCTACGCTATATATTATTACTTAAATATTTATTTAATGATTAGTATTGATAGAAATTTTAAAGTCACCTGTCAAAGTCGGTAAACGAAATTCATTTAGTAAGCAACCCAAATTCTATTCACGCCGACATCACTCATATTTTAATTGCAATTTGATGTGTAAAGCTGTGAATCGGTCGGTCGGTCGGAATACGGTTCATGAGATATATTTTTTTAAACTTTTCATAGAAATTCGTAAATAACACGCAATTACAAAATAAATTTGACACATGATTGATGTCAAACGTCAGTTAGTGTAGGGTTATATTTTGAAAGTATCGATACCTACTCGATACCAAGTATCGTATCGAAAGTATCAATACTACTTGGTATCGAGTACATTTCGTTAATTTTGGAGACGAAAAATTATGACAAAACAATTAGATGCATAGGAAGAGCTGATAAGTGCAATTATATATGTATAAAAGTAGAATAAAGTTTACTCTATTTAAGTTCCACCTTAGTACTTGTTTTCATTGTTTGCAACTTGTTTGTATTTCTTAATTCGTACAGCTTTTGTACTTTTATTTTATTGTTTGCAACTTTCTGTATTATCTAATTCTTACTACAATAAAGTGTTTACTTACTTATTGACTTACTTATTTAATATCCAAAAAGTACCCACAACCGAATCAGAGCACCCCACTATCCACGTGGTCTTGTCTGCCCTACCCCTAGAGTATATATAAGAGCCCGGAGGCGCGGAGGGAGAGCAGTGCCCGCCCGCCGTAGGGAAGTGCAGGCACCGAGATCGCCGTAGCGGCTGAGACTGGTCGCCGAAGGCGACTAAAAAGCCGAAGCTGTGAAGGCGAGCTCAGGTGCCTGTGCTTCTCTACGATAGGGCGGAGGCACTGCTCATCCCGCAGCGCCGGAGCTGCCACGAAGCGCCGGAGCACAACTTCCCGGCTTCTTACCCCCCCCCACCTATAAGCAATAAACTTAGTTGCCTTCAAAGCATTGTGTCTAGTTCTTTGAACTCTAAGATTAGATACCCCCTAATTTTAAATATTAGAAAGTCTCTGTACTATTGTCATAAAAAAGGGCTGAACATTATATTGGCTTGGATCCCTAGCCACTGCAGGAATTAGGGCAATGAAATTGCTGATAATTTAGCTAAAGATTTGCTATTCGTAAAAATTGTATCGAGTACAAAAATACTTGGTACTGAAATGAAAGTATCGATACTAATCAGGTATCGATACTTTTTGCGGATCACTTAATTTGTTTTTACACTGCTTAGAAAGAACCGCGAAACGACACCATTGTCAACCGTTGCCCTTGCAGTTGAGATCGTTTTACATACTCCTGTAAGCTTACAACGTTTGACTACCATGGCGTCTCCGAAGCATGGGGCTTCGGAGACTTCTGTGTCTGAAGAGTTGAGTGAAGTGCTAGTGTTGAACTCAAATGAGCCGCTTGTCACGGCCTCCTTTTCGGCGCTATCTTCAAGTAGTGCGCGAGTGTTGGACTCAATAGAGCCGCTTGTGCCTACTACTACGCAAGTGCAAGTGTTGGACTCAAATGAGCCACTTGTGCTCCCGTGTATGCGATTTCCGGTCCTTGACAAACCGGTTGCTGGTCCTAGTGGGATGACTGGTCCCAGTGGAGCAGCTGGTTCTTGTGGTAGCCTATCAGCTATTGCTAGTTCTTCGGAGGACGAGGGCGAGGAATATGCTGCTGCGATGCCCAGACCTACTGGGTCATCTGGCAGAAGGCTTAAACTTTACTCAGATGAGTTAAGGTAAGTTTTGATTTATGTTATGATTACTGTACAATATCATTTTTATGTCAGGTCAGGTCAGGTTATAAAAGGGCGTATAATTAATCAAATTTTTAATTTATACTTCCATAATTTTATAACTAATTTTCTATTATTTTTAAAAGGAAGCTCCAACCACAATTATGCCATATAATAGATTAAGTAATGCAATAAAGAATTGAATTGATCCAATTTGAATCTTGTTGGAATTTTAATAAAGTTTTAATTAAACTTTTTGTCATTTATTGTCATCTTGTGTCATTATCTCTGTGTATGTCTATGATGGGTGGTATTTATTTATTACTTTCGGAAACATGTATACATATAGTTTAGAGTAATTACTTAATTATTTATAATATTGATAGGTTTAAGTGGATGGTATCCTTGAATTCCTTGTAATATTTATAGAGTTAACTTTAGCACTAACAAAGTTTGATTGTTACAGTGCCCTTTGTCAATTTAAGGGAAACCTGTTATTGGCATTACTACATACATTAAACATAGTTATAAGATATATAATTTGTAACGCTGTTGGTTTTCTTAATAAAATAAAAATAAATAAATAAAATAAACTAATTGCACTCATAAATGTTTATTCTAATAAGTAGTTCAGTTTTTTCTATTATGTGGGTAAGATCAAAAAGTATTACCTATTCATATTTCATAAGTATGTAATTTGTATCTAAATATAATTTCCAAAACACATATAATACCTTTTTTTTTTAGATCCATGTGGAACTGGAGAAAAATCTTCTCCAAATTGGGTACGCACGAACAGTGTGTTCAGTTTGCGGAGGAGAGAGGACTCATCCCAGTAGACAAAATCTGCGCATACCACCGGAAGCCAATGATTTTGACAAAGGAATCAGGGCAAGTTGGAAAATTTAGATTCCGGGAAAGCAATTGCCGCACCAAAACAGTCTCTCGTGCTATTAGGACCTGGTTTGAAAACGCACACTTGTCCCTCACTTTAATATTTCAAATTATGTATGCATTTAGTGAGGGATTGTCTTACCACCAAACGAGGAAGGAGCTAGCCCGTGATGATGGCCTAGTAGTTTCTGGCAGAACTGTGGCTGACTGGTTCATTTATTGCCGGGAAACAATTTCCATTTATGAACTGGAAAATCAAAGGGCCTAAGGGAAGATAGGTGGCCCTAATAAAGTGGTTCAAACAGATGAATCGAAATTTGGAAAAAGGAAGTATAACCGTGGGAGACAGATTGAAGGACATTGGGTGATTGGCATGATTGAAGATGGCAATGACGATCTACGGCTTGAGGTGTGTCCAGATAATGAAAGGTCTGCAGACATATTGGTGCCACTCATAAAAAAACATGTCCAGGAATGCTTCATCATTCACACAGATTGTTGGAGAGCATATCTAAGCCTTCCTGAGCATGGATTTATCCATAAAAGAGTAAACCATAGCGACCCAACTGAGAAATTTGTGGCTCCAGACGGGACACACGCAGCGCATTGAGAGCCAGTGGAGAGGATTAAAAAAAAACAATTTAGACAACACCAACACAAGCATAGTTTTACAGTTTGGTTGTGCAAGTACCTATGGAGACGAAGAATTATGACAAACCACTTAGATGCATATGAAGAGCTGATAAGTGCAATTAGATATGTATATAGAATAGAATAAGGTTTACTCTATTTTAGTTTCACCTTCCATTCTGCTTGCCGCATCGCTTTCGAGCGGTCGTGTCAAGCAGTCAGCGCTCCGGTCCCCGTAGCCATCGAAGTCGCTGTCGGTGAGTCTTTTGTTTTTCGCATCGTTCTTGCCCCCTCGCTTTGGCGGGGAGGTTCAAACGCGCTTTGCTTATAATTGTTTTATTTTTTAATTTTTCTGTTATTATTTGTGTTATATTGTTACTTTATTATGTTGTTGTTGTGTCTTGGAAGAATGTCTCTTGTTCTTGTCAGAACAAGCTTTGTTCTTATCAGAACAAAGGAACCCCAGCTTCTTGGTATAAATCGTCAGCCTTCCCCCTCTGCCACCAAAGGCCCTGTTCTTAGAACAGGGACCTCTAATTCTTAGTTTAAAATCGTCCCCCCCCCCTGTCCACTATGGAACTTAGCAAAGTTTTAGCCCTTCTCTCCCAGTATTTCAAAATTGACGAGAAAGCTCTCTGTGTAAGACCCGTTATGACCTAAGCGGCCCCCATTTTCGCACATGCTAATCCCAACCTTCTATAAATGAACTTCAAATAGTTCAAAATCTCTTCTGTCGTAGGGCCACGAACTCGCCCTATTATGTCCGTAACGCCGACCTCCACCGAGACTTAGAACTCCCAACAATTCAGCAGTTCCTCAAATTACTCTCTGAGAGATTTTGCAAAGTCTCAGTGTCCCACTCAAATAGCCTCATTCGTGAGACAGCTGCCTATGCAGCCCCTCTTCACACTCGCTATAGTGCCTAGCCTACTTAACCCATCTCTTAATCTGCCTTAGTTAGGCACACTTCTAAGCGGCTTTTCGCCGCTTGCAGCCTCCTTTCTGCCAAGGAGGGTCGCGTCTGTGTACGGCTTAAAGATCTCTCGTCAGATCGATAAGCCAACTCATAAAGGTGGGGTTTAGTGGGTAAAAGTCTCCACATAACCACGCAGCCGGCTGCGTGGTATGCTATGAGCATTCCCCACGTCCCTCCCCCGCTTTCCGGAGGGTTGCCCTAAATTTCTTTAGGCGCAAAAACAAAAAAAATGATTTCTTATATTTACGCGAACACTATACATGCTTGATTAAAACTACTTTTACGGATTTTATCGCGTTTTATTTATATTAATTTTAATACCCGACGTTGCTTTCCAGCACACATGGTCACGGGGGACTGAGGTGACTGACGTCCCGATGTCAAAGTTAACCCGAAGTACCTTCAGCTTTTTAATTATTGTCTTTGGTCCGATCTACGCAGAATGAACTAACTGTATTTTGAAGTCTTGCAGTGGTATGCTTGGGTTTAGTTTTAATTTTATTAATTATAGGATCCCAAGCAGGTGGTAGTACCCAGCCACCTTCTCTATTGAAATTAGGATGTTTTTTAATTTCAATAGCCTCACGTATCATCCTTGGTAGGAATCTATGTTCTTTCGCGAGGATTTGTGGTCTATCAAATCTGATGTAATGGTTGGGGCCATCTAGAATATGATCGCAAACTGCAGACTTCCCGGAACGTTGATGCTTCACGTCAGCTATGTGTTCTTTTACGCGGGTTCTAATTGATCTCTTTGTTTGCCCTATATATGAGAGACCACAATCACAATCAAGCTTGTACACTCCTGCATCTTGTAGAGGAATATGACACTTGACGGATAGTAAGAACTGACTAATCTTCTTCGGCGGCTTGTAGAATGTTCTAATAGAAGCTCGCTTCAAGATGTAGCCAATCTTGTCTGTGACACCTCTGACATATGGTAGTATAGCAGGCACACGCTGGACTCAGTCCCCCGTGACCATGGGTGCTGGAAAGCATCCGAAACGTCGGGTATTAAAATTAATATTAATAAAACGCGATAAAATCCGTAAAAGTAGTTTTATCAACAAAAAAAATCACCCCCCCCTCCAAAAACAACCCCCTCCCCCTCCCATAATCCCCACCCTTACCTTCATTTAATCTAGTTCATTTTACCGCCCCTATCCCATATCCCCTCCATTTCATCAGACACTTAACTTCGGTCTGGAGGACATTATTATATCGACATCTATTGGAGACTAAAGGTTTCTGGTAGTCTGTAATAGAAATATTATATAATAGTGAAGCAGAAATATCATAACTGCCTCGTTGGTCTAGTGCGCTGATCATAAGGTCCCAGGTTCATCAGACCAAAAAAATATAATTACCTTTTTCTGCGGTGTCACACCCGTGCCTCGAAAAGCACGTAAAGCTATTAGTCTTGCGCCTGATCTCTCTCCGATCGTGTCGGATAACCGTCCCGTCGGACTACGAGAGTGGGTGAGTGAGGGAATAGAGTGCGTCTGTGCTTGCGCATACACTATAATCCTGTTCTGCAAATGGATAGTCTCCGTTAAAGTCTGGAGGACACTGTTACTATTATGTTCCAAATCAAACAATTGAGAGGACCTACGATTAAAGAGTATGTAATGTCCCAGACAACCGATTTTATCGAGGGGGTCTCACTGATCACAGAGTATTGAAATGATTCATTTGAATGATTGACTCGAATGACCTGGTTCCTAAGACAAATCAATACTTGAACGATCGGGTCATTAGAAATGAGTGAATGACACATGTCTGGTTTACGTACATTGTCGATAAAATCTATTCCATACCCTTCAATCCATTCAAAGTCACAGCTTACCATTACCTAGGTACCTACACGACAGCCTTATACTAACGTTATCATCATCATATTATTGCCTCTTAGAGTTCACTGCTGAAAATAGGCCTCCTCCAAGGAATGCCACAAATCACGGTTCTAAGCCACCTGCATCGATCGACTTCCTGTATTTCTTAGCAGATGATCACACCATCCTATGTTTACGTAAGACATGTGTCGATTTTGAATGATTCGTTCGTTGGACCTTGGTCACATCTAAGTACGGATAATTGCAATTACATTTTTCGAAAGTTCAATTGACAGAATCTACGATCAAAGAGTATATATGTACCAGACAACCGACATTATCGAGCGGGTCTCACAGATCAATCATAGAGTACTGAGACTCGAAATGATCTATTTGGATGATTCACGCGAATGACCCGGTTCCTAAGACGAATCATTACTTGAACGATCGAGTCACTAGAAATGAATGAAGAACACATGTCTAATTTACGTACACTGTAACCGCCATAGATGCATAATAGGGGGGGGGGGGGGGGGGTAATTTCCATAGCCCTATATAGCGCCTATATGGCAATCGACGCACACTACGATAGTATCGAAACGACGGAGCGCGCGAAATCAATTGACGCAACTCCAACCTCGACAAGAGCTCGCGCTATAGTCACAGATTACTGTG